AGTTTGTGCACCTTTGGCGTGAAGGTCCATGGTGTGAAGGTGATTGGACACTGTTGTTCGGTCGCAGCCGAGTTTGCTCGCCAATTCAGACGTGGTTTGGTGCGGATTGTCTTCGATCATGGACTTTGGCGCATCGTCATCGATGACGGATGGGCGTCCAGAACGGAGTTCATCTCGTAGAGTTTGATCTCCGCGTGAAAACTTCTCAAACCATTCGTATGCTGTGGATTTGCTTAAACAGGCATCGGGGTACACCTTTATGCGACAGACCGCGTCATTCGCGTTGCGCCCCTTATCGAACTGGAGAAGTAAGCAATGACGGATGTGGTCGTCGAGCCTCATTTTTCAATCGAGCGGGAAAACTTTTACTGAAAGCTATACACGACAGATATATAAAATTTTAGAGCTCTTCAGCCTCTTTCTTTTCGTATATAACATAGCGACAGAATAAGCTTTGGCGGCGTGGCACGAACCCCTCAAGCTTAACCCACTAAAAGTTCCGGATACTTTTTCCTAGATCTAATATTTCCTTAGTGCACTCCGTCACTGATTTTTCATTCTGATTTCTTCCACTTCGAATCTGAGAGGACATACAGTGATTTCTGCAGAAGAATCACTGTTATTGTGAATTCCTTTCCCCTTGGATGGTTTTAAACAGCAAATTGAACCGACAGGCAGTACTGTATGCACGATAGCAGTTTATCATGAGACACGTCTTGGGTTTGAAGGAAGACTCTACCTTTCGTCATGACTTCAACAAAAACTGAAGACTTTGGAGGGAAATTTCCCCTTTCAGAGAAGGTTCTAGGGTACTCAAGCTGCCTTTCCCAACAGACGAGGCAGATGACGAAAACTGCTTGTATTCCTCATTCACTATGGACGTAGTCTTAGAGATTGTCGCCATATAGAAGGCAGGAACTCGTACAAGCAGCGATGTTCCCCCGTCTCATGCCTTGTTGCACGAAGAGGGGCTTGAAATTTGGAGCTTCTGGCTTCTGTACTCTGAAGAGTTAGATTTCTCCAATCATCTTTGGCCCATCTCGTTAGTAATGCCAATAGCTTTCTCGGAAAATTCCCATGGAAAATGATCTTGTTATCTTTTTGCATCGAGAGCAGAGCAAAAACATGAAATGATAAATTCTTCTTCCAAAATCTTTTCAATTTCCTGGGTACGTTATGTGAAAAGTAAGTGTCCTTCAGCTCCCCATTAGCTCTCCTGAAAACCCTTCGTCAATAGCATGCAGACTCCTCGGTGGAGCTCTCGTTGCAACCATTCCAGGGGTGCCACCACCCGAGCAATTACTTTTTCTTTTCTATATGATATATGCCCAATCAGATCAACAAGAACAATCCATTCAAGATAAGATAGCAGAAAACTGAAGTCGGGAAAGTAAAAGAGGAGCAGTTTCGCCTTAGCCGACGATGTTCATGTCTCTTTGCTGCAATAGATTTACATCAAGGCGTAGAACTTGAAACAGGGATGCGCAATGTGCATCCCACGGAGTGCTTCCGTGCGTCGCTTGAGGGAATATGGGGAGAGGAGAAGCAAAGAAAAATGTATGCTGGAGATAAGAGGAAGGACAAAAAGTAAGAAACAGCGAAGCATACAAGGCATGACTGTTCGATCCGCGCTGTCGGAGGAGCATACAGGAGCGAATGCCCATCTCCCATGATAACAGCAGGTACTAGGGGTCTTCCCCAAGAGTGATGCTCTAATTTTGTCTATAGCTAATAACTGGTGGCACAAGCTCAAAAATGCAAAATGCAGATACTTTCAAAAGTCCTCCCATTCTTCGTTAAGTTTCGTGATTCCTACTCAGAAAGTTCCGCTACTGTGGCGATTCAATACGGTGAAGTATGACGAATTCCGTTGTCAGAGGGCAGCGCTTAAATTCCTTACAAGTGAAGGAGTCCCGCCGATAGACATTCAGAATCGCTTTTTATGGTGATGCATGTGTCGATTGAGTACTGTGTGTCAGTGGGTGAGTCGTGCGTAATTTGTCAGAGGGCAGCGCTTAAATTCCTTACAAGTGAAGGAGTCCCGCCGATAGACATTCAGAATCGCTTTTTATGGTGATTCATGTGTCGATTGAGTACTGTGTGTCAGTGGGTGAGTCGTGCGTAAGGAATGCAATGCTTGCTCTCTGCTTGTGATGGACGCTCCACCGTTTTAACTTGTCACAATGGCGGAGCTTTCTGTGAAGGAATCACGAAACTTTACAAGGAATGGCATGACATTTGAAAGTGCATTTTCGAGCTTGTTCTACCAGTAGTTTGCGGAAGAAAAAGTCGGAGACATTACTACTGAGGTGACGCTCGTATTTTTTTTCGAAACGAAGGTTTCCGTTCAGCACGTCTCCCTCTCGTGGTCGTCAATCTCACTCTGACACCCTTCTCCCAGCCCAAGCAAGAAATATATCCGCTATGAGTGGCCAAGGATAGGTGAGGATATTTCCTCTAAGTGCTAAGTGGTCTTTTGCCCACTCAACTTTTACAGTCTGCACGCTACTGCTTTCAAAGAAGCGACAAATGTCCTACCTAAGTTTCCCTTTTTCTAACATCATTTACTTCCTATCCGCAAAAATCTGGAGTCTCAGCAACATAAAATGAATCTTTCCTTGATATTCAGAATATTGACCACGAAAGCCAAGAGCGAAAGAATTTCTGGTGAAACTTATCAAGGTGTAGGGATTGGTTGAACTCACGAAAGTGTTCATGGTGAGTGAGAACTGGTCAAGGAACTGTCTTCTTGTTGATACCACAAAGGAGGAGGGAATGAATCTGAGAGAATTGGGACGGAGAACTAGAGGTTTTAACCAGAGGATTGGGTCAAGGTGCCTTACCTCGTTATCTAATACGTACGGCCAGCTAGCCTCGATGGTGTTAAAGGGAAAAAAAGAAAATTCATGAAACGCAGGTACAGGTTTTCGATTCACCTTGACTCTCCTTTCGTAATCCCTGGGCAGGATTTCTGATCTAGTTTCCCCCCCCCCCCCGATTAGAAATCCTTTCAATCAGGCAATTTGCTCGGTACATCTTCAGTTGGCTTCTATGTTCCAACTCTAGGCTCATTCAAATCTTTCTGTCAGCCATTCGATTATAAGAAGATAGTAAAGATGAGAAGAGGTGCTGGATCGGTTGGTAGAAGCAACTTTTCATCTCAGGCCAGGTTGAGGTATTTTTTGGACTTTTCATCTTGCCCTATTTACTACGGATAATATATAAATTACACAATTTAATTGATTTCATAACAGTCGGTATGGTTCACACATGGCAGGGCACGACATATGGTGCATAATGGCTCCTTCCAAGAAACCCTGGTTAATTTATGATACACCAAATACAAGTTTACAAAAGGTATATTTCAGATACAAAGCAGTGCAATGCAGTTATCTGTCAATACTGTACAGGAAGACTCGATGAGTGGTAACGAGACGAGCATATAAGGATCGTATTCATATAGAACTTGCCCGCGTCAGTACAGATACATAAAGTCAGAGAAACATGAAGGACTAGACAGTCACATCTTCATCGTACAAATTGTACAGCACAATGTGATATATACACCGACCGAGAGAAGGTAAGGGGAAAAGGTAGTATACATAAGTGTTTGGGGAGAGCTTGAAATTCAAGGTGCAGCCCCTCCAGCTGCAGCGGCTGCCGCTACTGGGACACCAGCGCCTCCCGGTGCGATTCCGTTGATGCGGATCCCAGCCGCTGGACTTTGACTAATCGGGACACCATTAATGGATCCGAGGACTTTCACACCTTTACCCGCCATGCCGCCTCCACCTCCTCCTGCTGCTCCCCCTCCACCTCCTCCCCCTTCTCCCCCTTTTCCTTCTTCGACGTCGATGTCGACGTTGACGTTCTCGTTTTCGCTGCCTCCTCCTCCTCCACCGCCGCCTCCGAGTCGAAGAAGAATCTTCGGACTTCTACTTCTTCCTCCTGAACGTCTATAGACGGGTGGTGGAGCAAGGATGACTGGGTTGTCAAGGTACTGTCCTGGTGGCATCACGTATGGCCTGGTAAAAATAAATAAATATATATATACTAGGCACATTCTGCTGTACATCATTTTCAGTTGGGATTTATCATCATATAATGCTAACAAGCCTGTACCTGGTCAAAAGAGCGGACATAAAATGATTTAAACTATTCATTGAGCGCCCAGTCATTAGAATTTTTTTAAAAGTTACTGCAGGAAGCATGGAAGCAGCGTTCTCGCTTCTTCTTTCAAAGCTCGTGAGGACGCTGTTTCCGCCTGTTCCAGCTTACTTTTGTCATTTTTCCTTTCGCAGTTACAACTGGTCCTACAGGTTTGGATGCTTCGTCGAATAGAAATGCTTACAACGGTAGTTTATTTTAAGTAAACAAAATAGTAATCCACGCCATCTCTATCTATTCTTGCCTACCATGTATCTGCGTAAAGATCTGATCAGACAGAGAGGCGTTTTTGGGGAAGCAAAAAAAAAAGTATTATTGCACATTTAATTTTTCATCATTCTAAGTAATAAAAAATTATTTTATTAATTACAATTAATACTGAGAAAATTTTCATCGTATTCTATTAAAAACATCCAATGTAATCACCAAATTTCAAAATCAGGAATATGCCCTCGAGGTTGCGAGTTGTTATTCTTAGTCGTCATGGGGATATTTCGACGGAGAAGTTATCCTTGGAGAATGGAACTTACGCAAGGCTGAGATGATAGAGTCCAGGGCCACAAAGATGGCCATAACACCAGTTCCAGTTTACACCGGCTCGAGCCACCCCCAAGAGGGAGCCCAAGAACAACACCACCTCCTAATATAGAAATGAAAAAAAAAGTTGCGGTAACTCAAGATTGAAATGTACGCGGTAAAGGCTAGACTCGTTCGAGACGTGGACTTCCCACCGAAAGTTTCATCGCTGAGGGTGAGGAGGTCGGTCTGCGACCTGCACGGATGGATGACCAGCGAAAGATTACTGGAATCGTCCTCGGAATATGGTCGGGTTATATCTACCTCTTTCCCAATCTCGATCATCCAGGAACCGAACTTCACCGTTCTCGTTCTTCCGTATTTTTCCCGGTTTCGTGTTTCTTGGGACTTGCATCACTTGGATGGGTCGGGTTGCTCCGTCTGCAATGGAAATTCAATCAATCGGATGACTTACGCAATTAAAACAGGCCGAGAAACTTTCCCTTTCCTTTCCTCTCGCCACGCACATCCTGCAAATGAAACTATTTAGACCGGTTCCTGCCTTTCTCGTGTCTCCACCTTCCCTTTTCTTTTCTTTTTACTGTCTTCAACGCATTGATCGAGATTTACGAATATCGTCAGTATCATCAGCGTACATGCAATCTACTTTAGAATAATTTTGAAGGCAAAAATAGTTCGAAAGTGAGCAGAGATATTATCTTCTGCTCCACGATTATTCCTTCTGCCTGTTAGAAGAAACACAAAAATAACTTTTAATGTTCTTTTAATTCCAATTTTTTTTGCCTTAAAACTTCTAGATGTCCAAGCTTCAATCACGTGTCTGAATTTTAGAAGCCTGCCAAAGCCTAATGGCATGTTCACAAGGACGAGATAAATCGAATCAACTCAGGTTAAACATGATTCTTGATGCTCACTTACCGGAAGTTAAGTCAAGGAACGTTTTTGCGAGTCTCTCGGTACGAATTACTCTGTTTTTGCTATCCCGGTACATAGCTTGACGTCATAGGCACGTATACCTGGCAGACCCACAGAATTCGAAATCGGTACCTCAGGACAATGCTAGTCTTGGGCACCTGGTTCACGCGTCTCTGGTGCCCTATCGGTGCGAGGATTCGCTCTCCCGATCACCAGAACATCGCGATGGGAAATGAGTGAGGGTCTTGAAAGGAGCAGACGACCTCCAGAGTCGGCCCGCGTTCTCCATTCAACCTTCCTATTCTCTAAGGGATGAGCACAGGAACCGTTTCAAGTACTGTAGTCATCATTCAAGTAGTTTTGTCTCCCTTTAATTTTGTCTTCGCTGCTGCGATGTCAAAGAGGGCTTATCTATTCTGCGACCCAGTTTTAAATCTCGGCCATCATTTTAAAATGGTACCCAGCTGTAAAATCAGTTCTACTTTAACTGAGAGGGAACTGGGAAATGCTAGAACTAGGTTGGTTCCCAGCTGAGATTTAAACTGGAAATCCTCCGACTGAAACTGAACTGAACTTTCGGCAGTAATCCAGCTGCATCCGTAGCAGGAAAATGTTAACGAAATCATTCTCGATCTGACTGGGAAATATATGTTTGGAAACCAGCCTGGTTCTTGCTTAATTTTCCAAATGGTCCCGCGCTGGAATGGATCTGGATTTCCAGGTGTAGTCCAGCAGTAACCTACAGCTGTTTCTAACTGGGATGTTAAGCTGGAAAGTTGATTGCATAACTGTGACCGTGGTGAGATTCCTGTAGTACTTGTTGGCCTAGTGGGCCATTTTGCCTCTCATTCTGTCTTTCGCTTTAGAATCTCCTTAATTTGCAATCGATTGGATCCACTGTGCAAGGAATGCCTCTTATGGAGTACTTATCTGATATATTAAGCTTTCGGAGTTGGATCTTCAGTCGTGGGACCGACTAGGACGAACCTGCTACCTGAATAAGGTTGCCACTGGTATATTGCGGCGTCCCCGCAAGGGAGTATAGGTTTTTAAGATACGTACGCATTTATGTAACTTTTAAGTTTGTTAAGACGTAAAAAAGAGTGTTAAACACAAGGATGTTATTTCTACATTATAATACGCAGATAACCGAATTACCTAACAATGAAGGAGAGGTCATATGAAGGTGAGAGTGGTTCCATATTAACTGTCACGGTCTGTAGGCTTGCGCAAAACAATATAACGTGTTGATTGATTAATTTGCTTAAAATTTATTTTTTCCCCGATGCTACTTCTTTAGTGCTCTCTCTTGGATTGGATCACGCCGTCTCTTGGACCTCAACGACGTCCTATACATCTGGTTTCTAATAGTACTCTTACTGCTAATTAAAAATTAACTCCGAGTTCTATATGTCTGTTGGAGTTACCTGGATCCCGCAGAAGGCAGGTGTGTTCTAGTACAGGGTGCCAAACAATGATAGCCCCCCCCCTGCCGGGGAAGTACTGTAATAGCTAGAAGTGTGATCGTGATATAATCTGAAAGTACATCCAATTCTTCTTCTTTGCAGGTATTAACATGTGTGCTGCT